CTTTTGCACAAAAAAATGTCGGTATCTCATTGACAAATTTTGCTTGTTCTTTTTGTTTTAATTGTTATTTGTAAGGAGCATACACATGAATTTCCATTTTAAGCCCATTATGGGAGGCATTTATCTTTTAACAAGGGACTTTAATCCTTTTATATGTTCTCATAACCAGTATATTTGATCTTACCTTATGCTGTTTGATATTTTTGTTTTTCTTCTTTCTGGATTTCCTACTGTTTTACTGTCAGTACTGTTTGTTTTTCTTCCCCAGTGACTTAGTATGTGTACACTGCTTTTTAATTTTAATTAAAAAAATTTTTTTGAGACAGGATCTCACTCTGTTGCCCAGGCTGGAGTGCAGTGGTCAACCATGGTTCACTGCAGCCTCAATCTCCCACGTTCAAGCCATCCTCCCACTCAGCCTCCTGAGTAGCTGGGATTACATGCTTTTTAATTTTTATGGTAATTAAAGCTGTTCAAAAAACTAATTTATGTTTCTAGAATAATCAAAGTCAGCACTTACATCTCTATTTTTCCCTTTTATATAAGATAGAGAATATTGTGTACTTCGTTTCTCTCTCCTGCCTGTATAGTTACTTGGATAATGGTGGGTTTGGATCTTGATTATTTATATTATGTATATCTATATCTTTATAACTGCATTCAATGGTGTGACAGACAACTCTTTCATTTTTTAGCTTCTAATTTTTATTTGAGGAGTGGGATGTTCAAGTGGATCTTTTATTTAAGAAGCTCTTTCAGGGAAGATATATGGAATCCTATTTTCTGAGCCCTTGTATATTTAGTAATATATTTGTGGGCTTCAGATGTTTTTTAAAAATTAAGTGTAAAATTCTTTACTTTCAGTTTCTTAAAACTTTGAAACTTTGCTTCATTATATTCTGCCATTTAATGTTGCAAATAAATCCAAAGTCAACCTGTGTCGCATTTTTTTCCCCATCGGATTATTTGGTTTTAGATGTTTTACTTTATGTTATTGAGATTTAGCTAAGATTTTTCAAGATACAGTTCTTTTATTCATTGATTATTGCTTTACATATGGTAGTCCCAAAGGTGAACTTTTTTTTTAAATTCAAGAAAATTTTCTTTAGCTTTGTATTTGCTTATTGTTTCTATTTATTTTATCCTTAGAAACAACTGTATTTTTTAGCTTTGAGCTCTTTTGTCTGTCCCATAATTCAGGTGTCCCCATATAAATTCATGACTATAGAAATTAGGCCGCACAGCAGGTGGTGAGTGGCAGGCAAGAGAGCATTACTGTCTGAGCTCCATCTCCTGTCAGATCAGTGGTGGCATTAGATTCTCAAAGGAGCACAAACCCTATTGTGAACACCCATGTGAGGGATATAGGTTGCATGCTCCATCTATAATGCCTGATAATCTGAGGTGGAACAGTTTCATCTTGAAACCATCCTCGCTGCCCCAACACTCGAAAAATGGTCTTCCATCAAACTGGTCCCTGAGTGCAAGGTTTCACTGAGTGGAAGTAGCTCTCAGCAGATGGGGGAGCCAGAAGGGAGATGGTTTTCTCCTGGAATCAGGCTGCCCTCCTCCGACTGTCCTGGCCATAGTTCGCGTCATTCAGCTGGTTGATGGCCTACTTGTGTGCTGGTTTGCTCCTGTGTGTCCCTCCAACCACTTGTGTCTCTGCCTGCTAGGGTCTTGGAGTTTTAATAGGCACAGGATGGGGAGTGGCAGGCCAGGGTGGTCATGAAAATGCAACATTTGGGCAGGGAAACGAAAATGCCTATCTTCAACTAGGTCCATGGGCGTAGGGCTGGGGGTGGTACCCTAGCCAGGGGCCACACCCTTTTCTACCCAGCACTGCCCTGTCCCCTCCTTTCCTCATATCAGCTGTTCATGTTCTTACATAATTCTCTGAGCTCAGTTTCCAGAGTCTTTAATGGGGTTTTCTTCTGTTGCCTGGTTTCTACTATTCTGAACCGGTGAGCACATAGGAAAACAACAGCCTTAGATATTCACTGCTTAGCTGAAGTCTTTAGTATCTGTCCCATTGACATTGTATTATATGGATTTCTTTCTCTTTCTCTCTCTGGCTGCATTTCACCACTACCAACCTTCTCTAATTCTTGCCAACAGTAGTGAAAGGGGCAGCACTCATGGCTGGGCATGGTGGCTCACGCCTGTATTCCTAGCACTTTGGGAGGTTGAGGCGGGTGGATTGCCCGAGCTCAGGTTCTCAAGGCCAGCCTGTCCAACATGATGAAATCCCATCTCTACTAAAATACAAAAAATTAGCCAGGCGTGGCGGCATGCATCTGTAATCCCAGCTACTCAGGAGGCTGAGACAGGAGAGTTGCTTGAAGCTGGGAGGCGGGGAGTTGCAGTGAGCCAAGATTGTACCATTGCCATCCAGGCTGGGGACAGAGCGAAACTCTTGTCTAAAGAAAAAACAACAACAACAGCAAAAAAAAAAAAAAACCCAGCACTCATACAATAAACAGCTGCATGGTTTTCTCTAGTACATGGCTTTCTTGTTAGTATGTTTCTGAATCAGAAAAAATCCATTGTGAGTTAGTATGTTTTTGAATCAGAAGAAAGGCCACTTACATATGGCTTGCACCCTCTCCAGGTAACTGGTTGGTATTTTTCTTTTCTGTTCCATTGGCTTGCAGTACCTTAATTTATTCGTTCATTCTTTCAATCAGTACTTATTAAGTTCTTACTATGCCCCAGGCACTTTTCTAGGTACTGGTTATATATAAAATATCTAACAAAATAGTGTTTCTTCCTTCTTTGGTGGCAGAAATAGTTTCTGGATTCTGTCAGTAACGCATTTTGGTGATAGTGTGATGTTTTATTTCCCTTTTTTCTAAAAAAAAATATTTTTGGGCAAGTTGAGAAAGGCTGTATTAAAGCTACAGTCAAGATACCAGTTTAACTTCTTTCTCCATATGCAATGTTTAAGGTTGCTGTGGATCCAGGAATAATTTTATGAATACAGTGTTCATTAACCTAATCTATTTTTCTAGTTTTATTTTATTTTAAACTGACAAATAATTATATATATTGGTGGGGGGTGATGTTTTGATAAATGACTATGGTGTGGAATGATCAAATAAGGCTACCATCCGTCACCTTAATAGTTATCATTTCTTTGTGCTAAGAACATTTGAAGTCCTTTTTTATCTATTTTGAAATATACATTATTATTAACTATAGTCACCAGACTATGCAGTAGATCATCAGAAACAATTCCTTCTGTTTAACTGAAACCTTATCATTATCCTAACATTTTAAGATTACTACTACTTCCCCCAAACCTCTCATCATAACTAATTTACTGTTTTCCTCACCTTTTTCTTAATCTTTTTTAACTTTCCAATTTTTTTTCTTTTTTTTTTTAAAAGGGCTGAAAAGCACCCACGGGTCTCGAACCACGCAGAGTGGTTGTTTTTAACCATAGAAAGCATTGTTGAAGTAACCGCTGAGCTAAAGCCAGCCCCAGTCTTTTTAACTTTCTAAGTGAAATGAGTAAAATTATCGTATCACTAAAATTAGGTTTATGTGGTGATCAGCAAGATGCTTTGGCCTGATATTTCTTTAATTTACTTTAGCAGAGTTTTCCTTCTGAAAGAGATCTTAGCTATTTGAAAAATAAGCAATAAAACTGCATTAGGTAATAATAGATGAAGAATTTGGTTAGTTTCAACATTATTTCCTGGCATTTAAAATAAAAATTAAATTTGAGGGACTTGATTTTTTCCCACCACTTTGAACAAAAATAAAAACAAATTTCTTTTATTTAGAGAAAACTTATTCTAGAACCTTTTATACCATGCTTCCAGTAAATATTATTAACTTTTAAAACAATACAAAGTAATAGAATTTCACACACAAACACACACACACACACACACACACACACACACACACACAGAGTACACACAGACCTATAAGTATGGAATGTAAAACGATTGTTAATTTCAGTATATAAAAGCATAAATTGGAGAGAAAACATGGTTTACAATTTGGATAAGATAACATGTTGTTTACCAAATGTGTAATAGAGTTATTGTCAGGGAAAGCAAACTTTAAGCAAAACAGGACCTGGCAATTATAAGTCCTATCTCATAATTTTCCAGATTGTCCAGTATTAAAAAACAAAAAGCTTCCTATGTGCACTAAATGTGGGGGCAAAATCGCATTTATAAGATTGTAGGCATCTTGAGGGAAAGAACTATATGTCAGTTACCTTGTGCAGCTGAATGTTATAGTCAAGAGAAGTTTGCTTCCTTTCAGGAAGAAGATAGAACCCTTAAAGGAGAAACATAGTGTCTTCCTTAGCCTGTAATAAGATTGGTAGTAATTGTTGTTTTAAAGATAGTGGTCAGGGTTTTGGAAGTATTTTCACATCAGCTATACCTGTCTCAACTGGTTTGTTCACACCTGGGGCAATTGTGTTAAATTTGTTGTTGTATAGGGGGAGGGGAACAGCTTCATTAGGTGACGTGCAGAGGATGTTGTTCACAGCTCTTTCACCCAGGGATTAGAAGTCTTCTTTCCCCTTCCCTTCCACTGTAGCGATGAATCTGCGGAGGAATCCCATGGCCTTGATCTATTAATACATGCTATCTTTATCTGAAAATCAAGAAGCTCAGAGAATTTGCTGTTTGTGTTGATACTTTACTTAATTGTGCTAGTCCAGCTGCATTTCACATACACACACTGTGGTAACAAATGTGACTAATTGGTACATTATAGCCAAGGCAGATTGGCATTGCTGAAAGATTTAAACTTTATGATGTCCATTATATGGCAGAGAGTATTAAGTTTTATCTGTTTTCTACAGGTTTGGTATTTGCAAATGTGTTTTGATTATGTTGTAGCCAAATAAAATGATACTTGACATGTTTTTCAGAACTCTTTTATAACAGTCAAGTTTATACCACATGTAGGTTGAATTTTAAACTCATAAACTCTCTGTGTGTGTTTATAATAATTGATGTATTTGTTTCTAGGGGCCACCTACAGATGCTCCTGCAGTGGACACAGCAGAACAAGTCTATATCTCTTCCCTGGCACTGTTAAAAGTAAGTAATCAGTGTAGTTACTTGCTTTAGAAAACTCTGTTGCTTTCATTGTATCTTTTATTTTGGAATAGTTGTCCACCTTAATCCTCTTGGTTTAGGTACATTTATAAAAGAAGTTTTTAATTTTCACTGGAACAAAATTTAGTTTTTGTTTTATAAAGAGGTACCAGAGACCTTAAAGAAATTTGCTTTGTGTCCACATCTCTTCCTCTCTACAGATGTTAAAACATGGTCGTGCTGGAGTTCCAATGGAAGTTATGGGTTTGATGCTTGGAGAATTTGTTGATGATTATACCGTCAGAGTGATTGATGTGTTTGCTATGCCACAGTCAGGAACAGTGAGTACTTTTATGGTTGCCTGCTGCAAGTAAATGTTCCAAAAAAATAACACATACATTCTTTTCATTTTTCTTTTCCTATGCAAACTAACTCTCATCATATTACATTTTCTCTTTCCAATAGGAAAAGTTAATTATAAGTTTGATAGAAATTTTTTGATTGTGTTGAATTAAATCATTAATCTTTAGAATGCAGCATAACTTCTGGTCTGCAAACTGAATGATGCTAATGCTAAATTTATTTTCTCATTCCTTCAGTTTAAACTGGCATAAAATACTGGACTTAAAAGTTAGTTACCCTATAATAGCAGTGTTAGTTTGATTAATTTGAATATTTGATTAAAAGGTATGAGATTCTGTTATTTAGATTTTCAATTCATATACACTAGTTCTTATGTCTTGTTCCATTGTTTTGAAATATGTCATTTAAAAAATGTTCTATATATGGTGATGAACAACTTTTAAACTTTTCTTATTTAAAATTTTAAGTTAAAAAAACAATAGCAAACCTGAGTTTTTTTTCCCGGGCATGGTATTTTGTTTATATGCACCACACTCCATACCCCAAATTACCTGTGTAGAATACATTATTCTTTCTAGAGATTTTTGTTCTGTTTTGCCTTTTTGTTTAATGCATTACACTTATGTTGATAAATGTGCATTGTGACTGAAATAAAATGGCCAAAAAACAATAACCATTCTATCTGTCTTCCAAAAAAATAACACATACATCCTTCTCACCTGTTTGCTTAGAAAAATATGCGTGTATTTTTCTAAGGTATATTTCTTCTTTGATAGGCAATATTACTCTTACTGAGCCTTGTAAAAGAACGATTAAAGAAGTGATTATAAAGCTGTTTGTTCTATTTGAGGCTCTATAAGTTTACTTTGATAAGGTAGATGCTAGAGAACAAATTACAGTTTTAAATAGTGTAAGATATATAAGTATGTATATTAAAAATAAGCATTTAAAATGTAATATTTGCTACAGAATGCAATATATTTATAAATAATGTAAAGTTTTCTCTAAATAGCGGAATTTGTTGAGGTAAACTAATTTGGATCTACTGATTTTATCTATGTCAATATCCATTATATTTATTTTATTCATTTGGAAATAGAGAAAAACTGTACATGTTAACCAAAGGTTTAGATTTAAATCTTAGACTATTACTCTGTCTTTTTTTTTTTTACTCTATCTTTTTCTGTTAGGCTATATGAAACACATAAAACTAACATATATGTTACGGGTTCTTATGTAGATATTCATTATTATACATAGTTCTTAGGCTTTACTATCCTTGCTTCCATGTAAATACTTGTTTGACAATATAAAATAGAAGATTTTGATCCCCATATTCACTCTAATTCCATTTTCTAGTGTCATAGAATTAGAAAGTTTTTCTTCTGGCCCCAGAGTCAGTAAACTTTCTATAAAGACATAAGTCTTCTGTTGCATATTCTTCTTCTTTTTTAAGACCATCATTTCTTTATATATATATATATATATATATATGAAAGAAAAAAACCAAAAACATTCTTAGCCTATAAGCAGCAGATTGTATACCCCTGTTCTTGAGGATGTACACTCTATTGGAATTCAGTATGCATACTGTTTTGGTGGGAAGGAAGTGCTTATGTTAACTAGTGTCTTTAAGTACATTAGATTTAGATTCCTGAGGTTAGAAGAAAGCCTTGGGAGCTATGATGACAGTAATCTATCACCAGGGAGATGATCTGAAACTTTTAATTCTTCCATGTTTAAATATCTTATTTTGGTTGAACTAGCAAAACAATGCAGTATGTAAGAGACTTGAGGCTCTTTAATTATGATAGCTGAAGATTTGTAGAACTTTGGATGAGACTCATTTTAGTCATTAGTTATGATAGGATGGCATTAGGAAGTATGCTTGCCTATATAGGTCTAACCAATAGTTATGGTTGGTTCAATTATTTCGTACTTCTGGTAAATATGTACATAGCAATGGCCATAAACTCCTAGAGAACCCTGAAAGTTAGCTTAAGTCATTAGCCAACAGCAGTTTCGTAGTTGGCAGTTTTAGAAGGTTGATTGGTATGAGGTTTATAATTGAATGACTTGAGTAGGTATCAAATGTAGGTATCAAAACCTACAAAATGATTTTGATAACCCAAAATACTATACGTAGGGAAGCTTTTTTCCTCCCCAAAGGTATAAAAGCTAATAATTTTTCTATTCTTTCTAAACCAGGGTGTCAGTGTGGAGGCAGTTGATCCAGTGTTCCAAGCCAAAATGTTGGATATGTTGAAGCAGACAGGAAGGTAAGCATTGTAAATGGTCAGTTAAAGAAATAATGGGAAATATTTGTAGAAATGTACCTCAGAGTTATAGATGGCTATCAATATCATTTCTAGAAAAAGAGATCATGTAGTTGACATAAAACTATCTATAAATATCAGTGCCATGCACCGCCTGTCTACTATCTCTTCCCTTTAGAACTAAAGACATTTGCCCATCAGAGAAATGCCTCATATTAAAATTCTTGACTGTCACATAGTAAGCTTGGGCTGTAGCTTCCCTCTGTTTAGCATATGGAGTTACTGTCTAGTCACTTATAATTGAAAGAGCTTGTATGTTCCATGTATTTGAGAGTTGCAACTGAATGAGATTATGAATATTTAATTATGTTTGTAGGCATAGTTTTAAAGACAGAGAAAGTATAATCCAAATATTCTAAAGTTTTTTTCCTCAGACCAAATCTCTCAATAGTTGTCATTCTCTTGCTCAAATTCTTCTACTGTGGAAAAAACTTCTAAATTAATGTTAGCAAAAGGCTCAGCAGCTGAGCAGAATAGTGCAAATTGGTTTTTGACTGAGTTCCTAGTTCTACTGCTGGTTTAATTGATATTTAATCCTTTCACAACAGTGGATCCTGGTGTCCATTGTTAAAAATGTACTCTGTGCCTGGAAAATCCAACTCCCAGAGCTAAGGAGTTAAAGAGTAGATATTTATTTGCTGAAAGGGTAAAAACTGGCTCTGAGAAACTGTGGTAACAAGGTGAAAAACTGAAAGCCTTATCTACCACTGCTAATGTGCATCTCTTAATGATAGCACTCCTTTGTCACACATATTCATTTCCATGTTTTCTGGATAATATGGTGTACAATTTCAGGGTTTCTAATGGTGCTTTTTCACACCTGTGTGTTTTTCATCTCTTCTTAATTTATACCCTGTTAGTGTGTTGTTTCTTTTCATATCATAAATGTATTACTTGTTCCATTCTGAGCGTCTGAATGCCCTCTTTGTTTCAGGCCGGAGATGGTTGTTGGTTGGTATCACAGTCACCCTGGCTTTGGTTGTTGGCTTTCTGGTGTGGATATCAACACTCAGCAGAGCTTTGAAGCTTTGTCGGAGAGAGCTGTGGCAGTGGTTGTGGATCCCATTCAGAGTGTAAAAGGAAAGGTAGAGTGGATTCTATCTTTATTGCCATCTCCTGCCACATTCTGTTTGCAGAGACAAAAAATAAAAATCCATTTTGTTCAAAACAGGATTCTTAGATACACAGAAAGCTACTGTCTACTTGAAAAACAAACAAAAAACTATACAAGTTGATAACTGTATTTTGGTATTATTAGCAATTTATTTGGAAATTTATTTCTTCTTTAATCACTTATTGTCTAATTGCCATGAATATTTATCTTTAAATGTTTTGAATTTTATAAAATTAGGAAAGTTAAACCATACGCAAAGCTGCTACAAACATTTTATTAATATTTCAATAAACATTGCTTTATCTTCATTTTCAAATGATAAATTTGAAATTAGCACAGCATTTAAAAAATCTATTTAAAGGGCACTGTCTTGCAGACATTGTGCAGGACATATTCTGGAGGTGTGTTTTCCAAATATTTTAGACAATGAAAACTTGCCCAAAGACTTGCTATCAACCATTCACGTTTTTGGAGTGAGGATGCAAATGAATGATTAAATATGCTAAATGATTCTGAAAAAAGATTAACTTGCAAAGCATATTGGGTTATAGTTGTTCTTTGTTGAAACCCCTTTTGTTCTTGTTTAGTTCTCTTTCCCTTTTTTGTTCATTCTTTCTTTCTTTTTTTTTTTTTATTTCTTTCTTTCTAGCCCCATATGCCATTTTCCTATTTCCTGCCTCATGACAGCAGGGAGCAGCTCTATTATCACCTTCACAGAGCTGTCTGCAAATGTGAGAGGCAATTCGATTTTGCTCAACCACAGGGAGAGTGGATTAGAAAAACTACAGAACATACAGAAATTGGCTAGGTGGTTACTGCTTTAAAATACTGCTGAGGTGTCTTGTTTGAGCATGTACTTCCATTGTAGTGTAGAATAATTGTTAAAATAAAATCACAATATATTTATGCAATCCTTTTTATGCAGGTTTTACAAATAATTTTTAAAGCACTTAGAAATAAATACTAGCTTGTTATCTATCAGACCTGGAGTTTGATAGTAGTGCAGATTACATTTATGTCTGCTCACCAGCTCAAACAAACTAAGCATGGCTGTTAAAATATGGAGTTTTTATCTGTCATAAATTTGAAGTTGAATGTTTTCTGATATCATATCATTATGATGTATAAAAATTGAGGTCATTTCTAAATCATGATCCTATTAGGTGTGATTTAGCTTTTCAGAGGCAGAAGCTATCCACAAAAACAATAATAGAAACTGATATACTAGACCACTCAGAATGGATAGCCTCTGATTCTTGCTATATGCCTGTATTTCAATTTGTTTTTTTTTTTTTTAACTGTTTTGTTACTCAACACATAGATAAAAGAGGTCGAAAATTCTTGATTGTTATTAGCTTTATGAATTATAGCATAATATCTCTTAAGTTTAATTCTCTGTTTGAAGGTACCTTTTTAGTAACTTGTAAATAATTCATTTAGGTAATAATTATTGTTTTACAAATATAACAATTACCTAATAAAGTCTCCTACCACAATATTTACAAGTAATAATTGAAGGTTAATTTAAAATATAATTAGAATTCTGTTTTGTAGTATTAGTTCAACTTACGTTTTATGATCTCTTGACTCCTGATGGTGGCTACTTTCAAAAAGGAAAGTATAAACTTAAACACAATGAAAGAAAGTATTCTCAAAATAGAATGTAAATAAATGAGTATTTATTTTATTCTTGGTTATACTTTTGTAGTATTTAAAATGGCATTTTAGTTTCCAAACCTTGTTTAAGTCTTCTATAATATTGGAATTTTCATTATTTCTAATTAATTGTAATTTATATGAAAATGACGAATTTCAGTTAAAAATGTGCATGTGTCACATGGCTGCTAACAATGTTAAATTTAGTTTTAAAAAATAATATATGTAAAATTTGTGAAATCATATATCACTGTCTACTTTTTTACGTTAGGAAGAAGTCTTTTTGAAAAAATTTAGTGTAAATACTTATCATTGCTGATGTGCATCACTTATTGTACCTAATGTCTAGATTCATACTATTATATCTCCTGAAACAAGGATCCAGTTCTTTGTCAATGATGCAACTTCATCTTTAAGGAGTCAGATTTTGATTATAATTTATGGCTCTTTCAGTGTCAAGTCCTCTCGTCACTATGAATCAGATTAAATGCTAGTAAATCCTTAGAGTGTTTAGTTAAATCATACTTAGGAATATTAACTAAAATAACGAAGAATAGCATAAGAGTCTCCCTCTCCCTTTCCTGCACATGATTTATCAAAGCTTTCAAAATATTTAGTAAGACAATCATTAGATCAAGAGTTAAAATGACACTTTATATATAAATGATTTAAGTTGGATCTCTGTTCACTGTTTTTACAACCTCTTGTACATTTTGTATATTTTCATTTCTATAAATTCTAATATTTCTGTCTTTGAGAGATGAGATAAGCCTGGATTCTTTCTTGGTAATCTCAATTCATTCACAATTAGTTTGATTTTCTTTTATGGTGACATGATTACATTGTTATTCAATAATTGCTGTGAGTCAGGTATTGTGAATAACCATTTCAGCTTATCTCATTTATTCTTTGTTATAATGCTAAAGATAGGCACTATTACCGTTACATATTATTAGTGGTTAAAAAAAAAATTAGGGCCAAGGAGATTGCTTTGCCAAAGTCAGACTGTCAGTTAGCAGCAAAACAGAGATACTAATCCAGGTCTGTAAAATTTCAGAGCTCAGGCTTTTTCATGGCTCTTTAATTCTTTAATATTAGACTGTTATGAATGATATAATCAGAGTGAGGAATGGAAAATGAATACCAAAGGTCATTGCAAGGCTGTTCCTTAAGTTACTGTGGATAGGTGTCACTCTCATCAGCATAAGTCAGGGGAAAGAGCTATACATTTTCTCTCCGTTCTCTATAGTTTTCTGTAGATATTATATATTACATATTAATTGATTTTAAAAAATCTGTTGTTCCATGAATTTTAAAAATAATTTAGACAGACTCATTTCTGTTGGCTTTTGGGACATCGCTGGGAGCAAACACTGAAACCAACATAAATAATGAAGTGCACTATGTGAAAAATAATCTGTAACCCTGTGCATATTGTACAACACTGAAAATGTTTTAAAATGATACAGGTGAAAATCAATGGTAATTGCATTCATAATTTAAATGGAGAGTAAGCTCATAGAAGTTACCAGTGAGTTCTGCTCTAATCAGTGAAATAGTTTATAAGATCTGCTGCAATATTTAGTTCATTTGTAAAATATGCATATTCACATATTTTAAACTTTAGTTCTCAAGTGGCACAGTGGGAACAGCTTGCTGAATGTTTTATTATCTTGTATACTCAGCCCACAACTAGATCCAGCAGCAAATTTAAGTTAATTCAACCTATAATGTGACTATACTTCTTGCTTAGGGCAAAAAGAATGGTCACTTTGGGCAAAATCATAAAACTAGCATACAACTTAATTATGTTGTTTTAATATATTTATTAAAAAGCATTACTGCTTTAGAGAACTCATTTTCCTTGACAAGGTTCCGGTTAGTAAAATGCTTAGTTGTTACCAGCTAACTAACTCCTAACAGTCATTGTATCCGTTCTCTGTTTTGAAAACATAAAAAAAAAAAAGTAATGACTAAATATGTCCAAATGTGCCTTCACGCTGGTTAGGTTTTCTTGAAACATTTTTATTTAATCTGATCAAAACACTCAATAAACTTTAAAAAATGTGATATTTATCTAACTGCAGGTCAGCTTAACTGCAGGTATTTCTTAAGTATACCTGATATGTATGCTAATGATTCTAAGATGCAAAATAAATTTTTAAAAATGGTCTTGGTCTTCTTTGAGAAGATAAATCATATGCATTTAGTGTTAACAGTGAGCAAGATCTCATCCTGCCAGCTGTATACTGATAACCTACATTGTGTACTGATACAATACAAAATATACTGAAAATTGCCTGTTTCTGTAAGTATTAAATTGGTTGCTACGGACAGAAATAATTCAACAAATACTTAGAATTTTGTATGTGCCAGGATACAATAAAGTACTATTTGTATAGCAAACACAGGAAATGCAAATTAAAATTAGAAGAAGGGAGAAATCAGTGTAGGTTGCGCAAAGTGGATAAAGCTAGGGCTGAGCTTTGAGGGGTGGGTGGGGACATCACCCAGAAAAGAGGAGCTTGTACCACTTGGAAAGAATGTAGAAACAATGTTCCAAGTGGTACTTACTTCTTTGTTCATTGTTTTTTCACAGATACTAGAAGGTAAAATGACTGGTTTCATTGGTTTTAATTTTTTTAAACAACTAGCATTTTACAAAAGATGGAACTTTGGGGAATAAATACAAATATAGGAAAAAAGTTAGGGAATGTGGCCGGGTACCATGGCTCACGCCTGTAATCCCAACACTATGTGTGGGCCACAGTGAGTGGATTACTAGATCCCAGGAGTTTGAGAACAACCTGGGCAACATGATGAAACTCCATCTCAAATCTTAAAAAATAATTAAAATTTTAAAAAAAGAAAGTTAGGGAATGAATGTTGTAAGAGCGTACCCTTTATTTTCAGATATCTAGAAGCTTGTATCTTTTTTTTGAGTGGGTGGGGTGGGTAGCAAATACTTTATTTTTCCAAGAAATTTTATATTAGAAAGTTTTAAGATGGTGAAGGTTTTAAAGTACTCAAATAGTAGTCTTGTTTTAAGCTTATTTTATATATCTAGGTGTATATATATATATACCATATATATTTTATATTTATATATATAAAGGGAATATGTATATTAGTAGGGCTGTGCTACTAATATGTATGCCTTTTGCCCTACTAATATATATATGCCCTACTAATATAATATATATATATATATATAATAGTAGGGCATAGCCAGGGGTTAGAGTAATAACACAGACTTAGGGATCAGGCCTGCATTAAAATCTATTTTTATCTCCTCTTTACAGTGCGACCTTGAAC